CCTTCCTATTTAATACATGTTGGTGCTCACAATTCCGATTAAAGTGGGAAAGAAACTGGAATTCATTCAATGTAGATTCCTTTGGGGGGAAGATGAAGACAAGAGGCGTTATCATTTAATTAAATGAGAGGAGGTAAAGCACCCTGTTGAGCTAGGCAGACTCGGTTTGAGATCATTGGTTGACTTAAACAAAGCACGGCAAGGTCAATGGATCTGGAGACTCTGGGAGGAAGATGACAGCTTATGGAAAAAGATTATCAAGGCCAAATGGGGTGTTTGGGGCAGAGAAGCCACCATAGAGAATAGAACTTATGGGGTGGGTTTCTAGAAGAGCATTATATAGAGACAGAACAGTGTACTTGAGTGTATTAAGTGGGAGACTGGTAATGGTAACAGGATTCGGTTCTGGCAGGACAAATGGTGTGGAAAAGAAAGCCTAATGTCCAAGTATCCTATGATTTATGCCATCGCCCAAAATAAGAATATGTTTGTCGAGGAGACGTTTGGGGCGACAATATCAGGGAGTGGATTGTTGATGTGTTCAGAAATCTGCAGGATTGAGAAGTGGAAGAATATGAAGATCTATTATAGCTTTTAGTCACTGTCCGTCCGCCTTAACAACAATAAAGAGAAACTCATTTGGAACCTAAAGAAATATGGAAAATTCTCTGTTAATTCTTTTTGTAGGCATTTGGTTGGCTATAGAGCAACAGGTGTAATTTTTCCCGACTAAAATAGTTTGGAAGGCTAAAGCTCCACCACGAATTTCTTTTTTTACCTGGAAAGTAGTCAAGAACGTATTTTTGATTATTGATAATCTTATGAAAAAGGGAAGATTATGGTTAATAGATGCTTTTTATGCAAATGCGATGTTGAGACTTGTAACTACATCCTGCTCTGGTGCCCGTTTACTTACAGTTTTTGGACTTTAGTCTATGGCCTTCTAGGCATCAATTGAACAATGGCTTGGGAGACGCTTCGTAAGAACAATATACCCTTCCGTCTTTATACCTTTATCCATATTTTGGATTATTTGGAAAAAGAGAAATAATAAAACTTTTGAGGAGAGGGAAGAGCAGATTGTCAATATTAGAGATAGTTGACTTCATTATTTTGGTTCTGTAACTTTCAGGCATGACCTTTATAGAATAGATGATTTCATTGTACATATGCTAATTGACATGTAAATTTTTTGTAAATGGGTGGCATCCCTTTGGTATCTTTTACTTAATATAATACACACTTTTCATTTCAGAAAAGAAAAAAACTCAAATTTGATTTTAGCTTCTGAATTTGTTGAGATGTTGGAGTCAATGTTTTCAGGAGCGGAAGCCATTCCGTGCTTGACAATTAGGGTTGAATAGAATAAAGGAGACAAAAAAAATTGGAATAACCAACAGAGGTCTGAGAGGATTAATTTCAGAACATAAGCTCCGATAACATGAAGAATTTGAATGTTACTGAGAAAAACAAGAGAATAAAAAAGAAGAGAAAATAATCTCTTATTTTCATGATTCTACTGAGTACAATCCAAGTCTATTTACAGGCAGAAATCAGCAAATAATTGCTGATTTGGTAAAGTGACAAAAATAGAAAAGTTGAAACTGATTCCCATAAATTTGGAAATCTTATTTACATGGCCTAATAAAGACTTATATCATCCTCCTTTATTCCTATGAATAAGTCTGATATGATCAGATTTTATTCCTGTAAATAGAGTCTATAGGAATACTTTCAAACTCCTAACAAAAATCCTAACAGTACATTAAATTCCAAAAATAACTACAAGTTTATTAATATAACAATGTGGGTATTCTTGGGTCTAGAATTAAATAATAATTAATTATTTTTCTACACTAGGTGCTAGAAGTAGCATGCTCTAGAGGACGAAAAGTTGCACATTCAGTCTTTGTTTGTAGACATAGAATGCCAACCCACCATTTACAGATAAAGGGCAGGCGTAACGATGACTTTTAGCCTCCTTATGTGATTGCACTACTCATCTTCTTTAGTAGGCAGAGGAAGTGGGTTACTTCGTAAGGTTAGCAAAGAAATTTTTTTGCCTTCTATTATGGTCCATAAATAGAAAAACAGGTAACCAAAGATAACATGCTAAGGGAGAAATCGGCTCGCAAGTATGGGGCATTGAGAATAAACCCCTTATTACAGACAAGCCGAATGAGGCTTGAAGGAACTAATTATTTTGTCTGGTCGAGGTCTCACATATTACTCGATCAAGCCAATGGTTTGCAAGAGTACCTTATAGGGAAACACAAGCTGGCTACTACCGGTTCTATTATAAAACTGTAGGAATTAGAAAATTCAATCAGTATGCCATGATTCATCAATTCCATACAGCTACAAACTTCTCATGGCCACTTGGGATATTGCTCTCAAAATTTGCAACTAGGAGAATGAAAAGAACCTGTAAAGTTAAGCATGACCACAAAATGACGTTCATACCTCAGCTGTCCGTACCTCCTGAGCATACGTGGGTGATACTGTTGTCACGATGTTGGAGAACACAATTGCACCCTTAAAAGTAGATGATGCCCCCAAAAAGGTTAAGAGTTTATAGTGAAATCATTTTGGAAATAATTAATAATAGTAACTACCTTTACAGGATTGATCCTATCCTGGGCTGAATTGTCCTGCATTCTATCTGGTCTATTTAGCTGCTGGACATCAAGACCACATGATGCCAATTCAGTAGCAGATGCAGCTCCTTGGTACTCAAAATTATGGCATGTAAAACATATCCTAGCTGAATTTAACCCTTTTGAAACATACAAGTCCCAATAGAGTGGTGCCTACAAATAGAAAAGAAAGTTGTATTGCTATTAAAAAATCCATTGGCACCACAAGAAAATATAATGCAGCAATCATTTTCTTAATTGACATACAACAAAGGCTGTCTGCCAATCGTGACAATGAATAATATCTGGTTTCTTGCCAGCTTGTAAAAGCAACTCAAGTGCAGCACGGCTAAAATATGAAAAGCGTCTGAAATCATCATTCTCGCCATAAAATTGTCCTCTCCAGAAGAACTTGTCCGGATGTTGAGGCTCAATAAAATAAACAGGTAGACCTAACAAATGAAAGCTGCAGTCAAAGCGTAGAGTTAAAACATTGTAGGCAAATAAAAGCAATAGATTTACTAACCTTCAACAGTGCCAACCCAGATTTTATTTTGGAATAGCCTCCCATCAAAATATGACTCCACGACCATATCTAGGGCCTGCATGATTTATCAAATTATTAAGAATGGCAGTGAAACAGAAGCTCTTTAATTATATTTTTAACTACCAAATAGTTTAGCATACTCTCAAATCACGAATACGATCATATTGCACGCAATCATATTTGGGAATTATAATTTCCAAAAGATGTCCTCTCTTTTGTAGTGCTTTACCAAGACCAGTCACAACATCTCCCAACCCACCAACCTGATTAAATTTAAAAAACAAAAAGTTACGAAATAGCTAGAAATAGATATGAAAGCAGCAATAGCTATAAGAACAACAGTGGCACGGTGAATAACCAATGAATGACACTTGAAATTGAAGCAAACTTAACTGGAAATTTCCAGATTATCAACAACATTTAATGCCAGCTGTTTTTAACTGAATAAGAATATAGGATAAACACTTTCATTTTTGTTGCTCAGGAACAAAAAACAAGGATATCATTTTCCAAATGAAAAAGCAGGTTTGCAACCCACAAAAAAATTAAGGAACAAATGCCTATAAAGAAAAATTATTACTTTATATTTATCAAAGAATGTTGTAAAACAACAAAACAAAGCAGAGAGATGCGAGAATATTGGAACTATATTATTCTTATGATGGTATTCGACATACATAAGCAAGGCTTCGTAATAGGAAACAAGTTATACATGGATACAATAATAAATTATGCATTACCTTAGGAATTGCACCTAAAATGAAAACACTTCACAAAATAACACAGGTAAGCAATCTCAGGGAAGTACAAGCAGCCACATTCGGTGGATGGTTATGGGTGATAAGTAACAGTTGTCTCATTTCCCAAGTTAATGTTCCAATTGCTTTCAAGTTCACGTTCACTCATCGGTTTGACAATATCTTCCAATTTCTTGGATTCCTATGCTCCAATGTTTTCAGAAACCACCATGGTGCGAGGTTCGCAGCTCTCATAGCAATAACATGTAGAAATATTGGAAAAGAAAGAACAAAGAGCGATTGAAGAGCACAGAGGGCAGGAAGGGAGAATCAACAAGAGGAAACAGAAAAGGAAGGCTCAATTGACATCCACTTCCAATCACACCCTTTACATCGTAAGACCAGGTATTTATTCTACAACTACTTAACAAGTTCTTGATTCTTCCTAACTACTCTCAACTTCCCTAACCCCCTTTAGGTTTCATGCTACAATTAGTTACAAGTTCTTGCTTCTTCCCAACTACTACCAACTTCCCTTAGATTTTTTTTTTTTGAAATAAAAAGTGTAAATTGTATTAAGTATAGGACACCAAGGGGTTGCTGCCCCTGTACAAAGTATTACTTCCCTTAGGTGTTATTCTACCAATTTTCGTTACATGTATTATTTTTGGTAATTTTTTATTCTAACGCATAACACTTGGCGATCAAACTCCCCCTCAAAATGATGGAAAGATTCCCATCATGCTGATCTTGCATGTCCAGTGTACTACCGAGATTTTTAGTAAAGAAGCTGGCCAAATGGTTTCCAGTGGACACATATAGATGTTTAGAATACCATATTTTATCTTTTCCTCAATGAAATGCTGATAAATCTCAATATACTTTCCCTTGTCACACCGAACTGAATTGTTGCAGTACTGATTGCACCCTTGTTATCATAGTATAACATTAGACCCTCTCATCTGACATCTTGAGTTCATGCATTAATATTTTGAAGTCATAGCAATTCATACACATCTTGGGCTATAATAGCTCTACATTCAACTTCTGCACTTAATCTTACTACTATAATGTTTTTTTTAATCCTTCAACCAACAGATACGCAATAGCCTGATGTAGACCTCTTGCCATAAGGAGATACAACCCTGCATTAATAAAAGACTCCTATCTTTGGATGACTATATTTGAAGAAGAGCAAGCTTTCCATAGAGTAGACTTCAAGAATCTAAGAATGTGATTGATTTAGGGATGGAAACAAGACAGGCTTGGGGCAGGTTCCATGAAATCTGAACCTGATCCAGACCTATAGAACATAAACCCGAAACCACCCCGAAGCCAAAGCAGGTTCAAAAAATTTAGTATGTATTGGGACCGATGTGGGTACCGGGTTAAAACTGGCCCACCCCACCCTGCAACAATGCCATTCCATGTTGCCACATTTCTCTCTCACATTTTATCAAACAGTTTCTGGGAGTAATCATTTATTCATTTGTTTCTCTTCTTGGTTTCCTTATTTTTCATTCATTATTTATAGAACTATTATATGTAACAGATGGGTTTGGATATGAAAACAAAAAGAAAAAGAGTAGGTTCACTTCTTCCTATAAATCTAGGATAAGATCACCATGATTTTAGGATAAAATTTTATCACAATCATTTATGCTAACATCTTATCACCGTGATTTTTGGCTTTCTTAATTAGCATTTTTATTTAAATAACTAAAAATTGAAATCTCAAAAGTAAAAGACATCTAAACCTAAATGAAAGACAGCGAAAAGTTCAGCACAACTCTTTTCCGGTTGCCTATTTTCTGCTTCGTGAGTTCCTCTTCAGCCTTCTATTTGATGTTATCGACAATAATACAAAACCTCAAAAGAGATTACTAATTTCCCAGAAATTAGTAGATTTTCTATTTTAATCGAGAACAGAAGAAACATTTCATTCATCTGTGCCCCCCTAAAAATTGTTGCAAAATAGGAAGAAAAGCATAGGCCTAGTTAAGCTCACCTTAGCAACGGGTGCCATTTCTGCCGCAATATGAACAACATACAATCCTGGACTAAAGATCAACAAATGGAACAAATTAAATAAACAGCACATCACTTGCAGAAATAAATATTAGAAGCTAATACCTTGTCGCCGATGATATCAACCTCAGAAATGCTGATATGGCTTCGTGCTCGTTTTTTTCCTTGCATGAATGATACACATCATGAACTCGTCTGTCTCTCTTCCATACCATTTCTCTCAACAGCGTTGCATCACCAGTTGATATTTTCTTCTCAAGTAGCCATCCATCAATTATAAGTAATAAACGGCTCCAAAAGTCCCAAGGCATATCATCTACAGGTCCCTCTAATGCTTTTTTCCTGCTTTCTTCCTTTAAACTATCCAGGGTTTCCTGAAATTCTTTCACAGATTCTTGATATAACTGAACATATGAGTGTATCTCCTCATCAGATCGTTCAAGACGCTCCTCTAGTAATTTTAGTTTTTGTTGCATGAGTTCATTATATTGTTGCATCTTTTCTGATGATAATTTGTAGATGTTAGCTTCTTCAAGAGATTCTTCTAACTTATCCACCTTCTTTCTGAGTTCTTGATTTTGCTGTAATACTAAAATGGCTTGATCTGCCTGTTTGGTTGCCTTATCTAACAAGAATTGCAGATTCTCCACCTTTGTCCATAAATCCTTGCATTCAACTTTCAGAGTAGAAAGCTTTGAAACATCTTCTTGAGAATCTGACAATTTAGACTCCAACTCTTTTAGAGACGATTCCAAAAGTGATCTCTCTTTTTCCAACATTACTATACGTTCATCTGTATTCTTGACACTGCTTAGCTCTGTCTTGAGTGCTTGTATATCAGTTTTCAATGACAGATTCTCTATCCTCAATAAATCAAGCTCCTTGCTAAGAGGCTGAAGATTAATATCATGAGCTGAAGGAAGACCTAATTCATTACACAGTTTCCCTAATTGATCTTCCAAGACCTCCACATGTATCTTCTCTTGGGCAGCAACTTTGATTCGTGCATCAGTTTCAGCCAGTTTCATTTCCAATACGTTAATTTCTCCCTGCAAAGCTTCTTTCTCGGCAAGAATTTTATTAAGATCCTCAACTGCATGAGCCCGAGCTCGGTCAAGAAGAAGGATATCTGAAATATTTTTGTTAAATAAATACTAACCCATGCATATTTCTGTAGACTGACAGTGATGAAAAGATTATAAAAAAGAGGCACAAAATAATTCATAAGCAAAGCAGTAAGAGAATCTACTTTTCTCCGCATTTCGTATCATGCTAATCAGTTCTTCAAATTGTATGCCGGACTGATTCTCTTCCCTATCTATATTCATGACCTGAAATAGAAAAACAACATCATCAAAGATTCAGACTTACATTGAGCTTTTTTTGTATACAAAAAGAAGTTATTAAAAAAGAAAGAAGCTTGTGAGCAATGTATTTTTGCTATTTTCACTTTCAATACCTATGATTTTCTAGGCAAATTCAACAACTTTAGTTTGTATTTTTGTCACTTTACATAAAACTATATTTTTTACATTATTTTCTTTTAATATTTCAGATCTTTTTCCTAATTTCAATCTGTTTAGACTTGCATTTCTGTGCACAATTTTATAATCACAAACATAAGGAAATGTCCTTCAAGAATCTAACAATATTACGTGAAATGACAATCTGCAAAATTAAAAATACTGAATTCGCATAAAAAAATCGCAGGTATTTACATTATTCAAAAAAAAAAAAAACCAAACCACAAGGCATTAAATTGTATTTTGCCCTTATCTAGATAGTTATGTCCCAGCAGAACCTAAGCCACTAGACAGTTCACTGGAAAAGTTTACCAATGTAGCTCCCATGGCAGTCGCAACAAAGGGGAGGTTAATCCTCATCAGGACCCTGTTGGATAACAATCGGCAGAGAAATAAAAGAAACCTAGGAGTTTTAGTTAGAAAGGATTACTAAACCCTTAGGAGTTAAAATTTGAGTAAAACAGGATCATAGAATGCTGGAGTTTTGATTAGGACAGGCTATTAAAGACTTCAGAGTTAGATTCAGAATAAAATAGGATTTAAGAATCTGAAGTTTTAATGGAGATCTACTATGATTAGTTACCCTATAATAAGTATAATTTTAACAATAAAAATATTTATCATTAATTAAATAAATCCAAGTTTATAATCTACAAATCGGAGGTTCCCTTTAACGAGCCTTACCATATGCTAAGAAGACTGAAAATTGGGAAAGAAAACAGCCACCTTCGCCAGTTCAATGTCCAATGCCCTATTACCCGACCCAAGCAACAAACTGTAAAAATTTGGTAGCAGAACCAGTAGACATATGAGACTTTTTAAATCCTTTTACCAGCAATTTGAGTAATAAAATTCCTGAAGCAGTATCAAGAGGATGGTGTGTGGTCAGAGGAAAGGTAAAGACAGTTAGCATGTAAATCGAGAGTCTGACTACAGAACCAGCTTATCATGGCTGCACAACAAACAACTTGTCGGGGCGAGCGACAGATAGTATGAAAGGAAGAGCCACACCACAGTCTGCAAAACTTGATTTTTCAACGTTCAACGACAACATAGACCCACTCAAGTGCTTACCCAATGTGAAAAAGCGTACCATCAACGGAAGATAGACGAAGAAGATAACGTTGGACTTACCTCTTTCCACCTTGGGGATGACTTCTCAGCTCTGGTTCCTTAAGCTCAAGTGTGATCGGCTAGAACTAACCTTCAAAGAGTTGAACAATTACAGCCCACTCATGGTGCCATCACTGGCTACTCATAATTGCCATATTATCATATACAGCCATCTTATTATTGCCTCATTTGGCTATCTTTTACTATTGTTTTTAGCTATCCATGTTTTGTACCTTATAATATCCATAGTTGTCGCCCCTCATTGACTATCCTTTATTGCCATCTGGAGGATAGCTTGTCTCCTCTAGGTTGTATTTTCTATTTCTTCATCTACTGTATTTCTTTTCTATCCAAAAAAAAAATTGTGTTGAATTCATGCAACATTCTAATATCTAATTGTAAGTGGTGCTCGATATCTAGCATAACTTGTGTCGAAGCAACAAGGCTTTCTGTTAAGTTGAAGAAATATAATGTTTGTCTGAACTAGTGGTTAACAGAAGCAAAGCCTGTGGATAAGCCTAATGAACTTCAATATGTATCACAGGAACACATGGTCAATCTTCCCAAAAGTTCAACCATGACATAAAAGGTAATTTGGAAAATACTGCAGCATAAAAACAGAAAACCTAAGTCAAGGCAGCAAAAAGTTATCCATACAACCATCCTGTCTTCTGATAATACTATCCAATTCCTAATATATATATAGGATGAACATAAACTAAATGATTCATGTTCAAAATTCTTAACTACATCAACTAAGATGGAAACATGCAGCACCAGAATTCCTCTATGTAGAAAAGTCTTAACTATAAAACTTAAAAATGAGAATCCTCAGAGAGACTAGAGCTCTCTAGTATTTATCAACCACTCAGGATCTATGATCTTAATAATGAGTAAAACTAAAAAAATCAAATGGCATCATTTTTCACAAGTCAATCTTCTTATGTCACTGAAAGTTTATGTAAACTGAAAAAGGGCTAAGACCAAACAGATGCAATGAAATGAAAATAGAGCAACAACAGCTTAGGGTCATATACACAAATTGGTAAGGAAGATACCAAAGATTTACCCACCTCTGGCACAGATAAAGCATCAAAGTTTTTCTCCTCTCCATGCTCCAAATCTATAGCAGTGTGAATGTTGTTATTTTCAATTTCCACATTCAAGTTTGCAGCACTATTGATCGACGAATTTTCAGATTCAGAGTCCTCCACACAACTTTGCTGCAAATCTGCACTTGTTGGATTAGGTAGAGGAGAAGTGTCCTTTACTTCTTGTCTCTTCTGGGAACTGCCACATTTTTAGTATTATCAACTCACTGCATTCTACATGGAACACAATTATCTCGAAAGGAAATTTGAAGGGTGTTTCGATTGCTTAGTTGCTGCTTATAAGCAGTTTTAAGCATCATGCTTTGTTATTCACGCTTTGGTAACATAAAAGGTATAGTTCCTCTTACAAGTAATTATAATAAAGTAAAAAAAAAAAAAAGAGCAGTTTATTCTTATTTTCTCAAATTCTTAATTTTTTTAATTTAACATATTTACTTATTTAGCATCTTGATATCCTTTTCAAATTAAAAAGATATAAATAAAATAATGTAAGCTTATAAGTTGTAAAATACTTTATTTTATAGTAAATGTACATTTTTATTAATTTTTTATTAAAGATTACTACTTATTTTACAATCCATAATTTATTCAAACACGTAATTGTTTATTTAAATTTACCTAGTAACTTAAAGCACTACTACTAATATTATTCAAAATAACCTTTTAAGCAAAAGTTATATTTTATAAAACTTGAGAAAATTTTTCCAATAATTGCTTATATACTAAATAAAAGCTAAGCATGAATTTGTGAATATTTCATCCACAAATACAAAGATTAATGCAAAGCAGAGTCATGATGCTTTCAAATAGTACTTCCATGTTTAGGATATAAGATAACTTATATAAAATTTTTCAGAATGAAGCCTGTCCACACGCCTCATTCAATATTTACGTCTCCACCTGAATATTTAGGAAAAAAAAAATCTCTAATGTTCTTTCATGATTTCTATTTCCATATAAGTTTCTTTTCACTCTACCTGAATCACATTCCATGTTCAGTGGTTCTAATTAATAAGGACAAAGAAAAGTTTTAAACCGAGAAGAGAATTAGCAATCTTCAATAGAAGTGGATACGGATTAAGGACCAAAACGTAACTCATATGAAATCAATCAGAGAAAGTACCTGAAAGCACGCTGTCGCATTTTACAAGAAGCAGGAATCGAGCGATTAGAAGGCAAGAACAAACGTACATTTAAGTGCTTACTGTTGCAGTTGAGTCCAGTAAAGCCTTGACACAAGAAGTACGTGGATAACCTGCCAGCCATTGATTCTAGCTCTTCAAAAGACAGAGCTCTATAGAAACACTGCCTGAATCGAGAATCGATCGGTAATCGATAATCGATCAATCGGTCGAGAGAGAGAGAGAGAGAGAGAGAGAGAGAGCAACAGTTAATATGAATGGATCCTGCTTTCCCGTTGGGGAAGAAGAAGAGATTTATATATCTTTCTCGGGAGTTTTCGCATCTTTACATCTGAGAAATGTTAAGAATACATGCATGTCCAGGTAAAGACAAAATAAGTGGGCCCCACCCACCCAAGCGTATCTACCAAGACCCTATCCTGATCGAACGGTGATAAATGGTCAAGCCCGATGCCTGGTCCACGTATTTCATAAAGCTTTAAGATATTAAAAATATCACTCCACCTGTTTTTTTTCTTTTTTTTTTTTGTAATTATCATAATTAAAAAAATTACCAGAATTGGAAATATTTTACAAAATCCAACAATTTTAGCCTAAGTTATGATTCAACCCGTTCTTATTTTCTAGTTTCATTGTGCCATCACAGGAGAAATCATTGCAAATATAATAAATTAAAATTTTATAACACATTTCGAACTACTACAGAAAATCTAACTTTATAAAAATTATCGATTTTATAGAACTTGAATAATAAAGTTTAGTTAAGGAATATGTATACTTATGCTAAAAGAACTTTTTAGTAGATTTTACATATAATTATGAAGATTTGGTAGATGATTTACATTTTATCAGTTAGATCATATATAAACATCTAAAAAATGTGAAGTAAAAAAATAACAGTTGATTA